AACACGCTACCTGCGACCCGCTCCATTTCAGAACTCATCCCGATTCCCTCAGTAAGTAGATAAATAGCTGCATTTTCTCCTTGAGCCTCTCAGGGGTCTAAGATTGGGGAGAAGAATGTCTAGACTCACTGAATGGTGCAGATGTTTACCCCCAACTTGAGATGGGCTAAATGGGACCCTTGGGAACACATGGACTGAAGCTCCAGAACCCTGAGATCCCCTCTGGTTCCGGGGGGTCTAGGCACAGGACCCCAGTACTGAGAAATGACAGCGGATGAAAGGAAGACGGGTGCGTGCCCAGCAAGCAGCGTGTCAGGGAAGCAGAGCCCCGCGGCAGGACAGCAGGAGGGCAAGGACTTGCTTCCAGTCCTCTGCCGCGCCCCCTGGGGACCTGGTCACCTCTGGAGGCCTGCGCTGACAGTGGGGAGGTGTGGATCGACACTATGGCTCCACCATGAATATGCAAGAGGGAATCCTGAGGTATGGGGACACAAGGGGACAAGGGCCTGAAGGGGCTGCCGGGAGGTGGGCAGACTGCCGCCTAGGGGTCACGGCCTGACTGTCCGGCTTTCCAATAATGTATTTTGTCACCTTTCAAGAAAAGCATTTGCCTTGGACCTTTCCAAGGCTGAAAGAACTGAAGGAATAAATTCTCCAGCAGCACTGGTGTGCGTGCCTAGAGACCATCGGAGCCAGGCTCCTGGATGCCCACAAGGTGGGGACTGCAGAGCCGGCCTCCCAGAGCCACCGGGGGTCGGGCCGCTCAGACTGCAGCGGGACCTGCTCCAGCGGGGGCCGGCCTGTCCAGGGCCTAGCCTCTCCTCTACCCTTGAGGCAGCTGTGGCTCAGACACACCTTGTTTCCAGGTGTTTGTCAGGAGTACTTGGTTTGTTTTTAAGATTTGCTCCCTATGACTGGGAGCAAAATTCCAGCTAAAATGTCACCCAGAAGGGGGTGGCTGGTGCCAGGGGCTGCCAAAGGCAGGGCAGTCACTCTGGGATGTGACTTTTCATAAAGGGATTTCACCCCTCAGTGCCCTGTGGCCACATCTGGAGCTCTTCCCTGCGCATGCGCAGGTCCCACAGCACTGACCTACCCCCGAGGCCACAGGCCCTCCATCCTCCTACCTCCCACGTTCAACCTCTCCTACCTTCACAGCCGAACTGTCTGCAAGAGCCCAGAATGGGGAGGGAGCGGAGCAGGGACCAGGGGCTGGACAAGCTGAAGTTCTTCAATCTGGGCTCCCATCTTCCCCAAATTTGAAAGGCAAGGAGGGGAGGAAGAAAGGGAGCAATGGACCAAGACTGGGGGTCACAAGCTGGTGCCCCAGAGGCATATTTTTTTGGTTGACAAAGCATTTTAAAAGCTTTTACACTGAATGCCATTGGAGGGGCAGGCGCTCTTTGGGTCTCGGGTCCTACCACCCGTGCAGCCCCGTGACCTGCCCGAGTTGCAGGGCGCTGCCTATGTTGCAGTTACTCCACCTGCCCGCCTGGGAAGCAGTTGGTTCAGGGCCCTTGAGATTGTGATCTGTTTCCCAGGCCTGTGGGCACCCTGAGGGCTCCGATGACCCTGCTTGGGGACCCCTGAATATTGTCACAGCCAGGCCTGGACTCTGATCTACGGCAGAAAGAATGAAGAAAAGAGTGAGCCCTGGCCAGTTTGGCTCAGCCGTTCGAGCATCGGCCTGCGGACCAGAGTCACGGGTTTGATTCTGCTCAAGGGCATGTACCTCGGTTGTGGTTCAGTCCCTGGCTCTGGTCAGGGTCATGCAGGAAGCAACCAGTTGATGTGTCTCTCTCACATCGATGTTTCTCTCTCTTTCCCTCCCTCCCTTTTGGAAAAAAATATCCTCAGGTGAGGATTAAAAAAAAAAAGAAAGAAAGAAAAGAAAAGAGTGAGGGGAAATCTCATGACACCGAAGCCCTAGACCCTGGAAGTCAGAGCTGGGCCCATGTCCAGGCCTTGTCAGGCCTTGTGGTGTGGCCTTGGACAATCCCCTCTGAGCCTCGGGGCACCGCAGGAAAGGAGTCTGGATGAGTCAGAGGGTTGGTGTGAATCTGGGCAGACTTTGCGGGTTGGCTTCCATGTTAATGAGAATCAATTTGGACTAGCAACACCACCACACCCAGGCTTCTGCTTCAGGCCAGCCCCTGGCTCCCTGTTCTTTCTTTCCTCATTGTGGGTCTGGGGGATTTTTAGGGGGTCGAAGGGTATCTTTAAGCCATAATCTCCTATGACAGGAGCATGATTCTGTTGAGAGAACAAGGCCCAGGAGATCTAAGAATTCACTGCACCTCTATCTTGCCCCACGAGCCACAAATTTCCCACATGTGAATGAACCCTGTGATTGCCCCAGGGGATGGCCAGAGACTGCAAAGCACCATAGGAACATCGGTTATAAAAGGGCTAACCCTAACTAAGGCGCCTTGGGAAAGGGATGCTGGGTTTGATATCACCAAACGTTTCTAGTGAGGAGTTAGACTAAGGTACAAAAATGTTCAGAAAATCCACGATGTCCTTTTCAACACATCAGAGCTGAGCAGGAACACGGGGCTGAAGGCTCATGGAGGAGAGCCCCAGGCCTCTTGCCACGATGCTGGTGAAAGCCATAGCCTGTGTTTTCCATTCAGAATTCTCTGGCATCAACGATGTGCCCTCTGGAACCCTCCTCTCCGAGTTCCCGGGCAGCCCCGCTGAGCAGCCGGGGAACTCGGTGGGTGCGAGCAGCTATGAGTGTACGAACATGTGTGTGCATTGTGTACTCTTGTGCTTCTGCCTGGCAGCCCCGTCGTCGAGTGGCTGTCTAATAAATACCGATGCAATCTGAGGCCCAGCAGAGCCTCAGAGGAGAGAGCAAAGGTGTGGAGGGAGCTCATCACAGAGCTGAGGAGAAGAGGAGGGGTGGAGGGGCGTTCGTGGGCCAGGTGGGCTTTGCCAAGGAAGGATGGTGTGCCTTGGGCAGCCAGTTCAGGAAAAGTTGATTTCCTACAATAGCCTGAGTCCACAGAAGGGACCAGGATCCAAGGATGCAAGCAGCCAAAAGGTCTGTGCAGCAGACCCCAGACCCAGACCTTCCTGCAGAAGGGAGGAAGGCGGGGCGGGTAACAAACTCTCTTCTCCTTTGCCTGACAGGTGGAGGCTGGAGCTGCTTCATCCAGCAGGTCCCAGGAGGGTGGGTGAGCCTGCAGTGAGGCTCCACTTCCTCAGCAGTTCTACCAGCCCCCGGACACTCTGTGTGGGACAGTGGACTGAGAGCCATCTACTGCCCTTGCCATCAACTTCCCTCCCCAGGGATGGGAGGATCACCACGTGCCAGGGGTCAGAGGCCAAGTCCCAGCCCCACCTCTGCCAGTCACTGCCTGGGGACTCCACTTGGCTGAGCCTCAGTTTCCTCTCTGTCCTACCACCTGGCAGGGGTATGGGGGAAACAGTTGGTGGTGGCCAGAGGAGGTCTACTTTGTCTCCCTGTGTGGTCCTGGGCTTCCTCCAGCTGGGCCTCGGTTTTCCTCAAGGCTGAGTTCCACCCCTCTGGGTGTTCTTATTTCCCATGGGTCTGACTATCAGCTGTACTCAGGTGCCCCCTCTGTGCTTGCTCGGCAGTGGAGGGCCTGTCCCAGCTCGCTTGGAGAAGGAAGCAAGGAAGGAGAGAGCTGTCCGATGACCCTGCAGGCAGCCCTGCTGTACCAAGGCAACCAAGGCTCAGAGAGGTGAGGGTCTTGTCTGAGGTCCCACAGCAAGGTGGAGGTGCAGCCAGGAGAAAACGTCTCAGGGCCAATAACCTCAAGAGTGGGCTCTCTCTGCCCCAGCTCTCTGCCAACCTGGTGACATGCAGACATCTGGGACATTGTCACATGAAGTGGCAAAGTCCACTGTCATCGCTGTAATTCAGTCCAGATCTGGACAGAGCCCCCACCTGGCTGTTCTGAGCTGGCAAGAGAGACTATACATAGAATTGAGGCCCTAGGCAAAGAGATGGTGGTTGTTGGCACCCCATCTCAAAACCACTCCCGGCTCACCTGCCAGGTCCTCACTGCCCGTCCTGTCCCTCTCCCAGGAGGCTTTCCTCTGTCCCCAAACCCTCCTAGTTGGCTTTTTCTGGCCACTCCAGCCCACAGTGAGTTCTACAACTCCCTCTCCAAGCTCCGGACTGACCTTGATGACCCCTTGTGTCAACAGGCAGACACCCACCATTTGAAGTCAGGCGCCTGCCCCACCCGGTACTTCCATTCCCAGCTGCATGCTAGGCTCCGCGAGGATGAGGAAGAGCTGCTCAGGAAGTTCTGGCGGCTGCTGCAGGGGTGTGGTCTTCGATGCAGGCAAAGTCCTTTTTGTCTACACGGCAGAGCAGGCGTGCCCAGAATCCACTCGCTGGGGTTCTGGAGGGTGAGGGCAGTGTCCATGGTGGGTGTCCAACGTGATCGGAGCTTGGGAATGCCTCAGAAAACCATCCCAGATCAGGTCAGCGGTTCCAGGGGCTGGGGGGCAGGAGGACCTCAGGTCCCACCTTGGACCATGATCTCCTGGGTCCCATCCAGCCCTAATGTTCAAAGTCCACAATGCAATCAGCACCTGGGACATCTCACCCTAGAACAGTAGTTGAGGGGTCTCCTGGACGGTTCTTTGAGTCTCTTGATATATGGAAAAGAACTGTTCACACTGCATTGGGCCCAGGGAAATGGAGGCAGGAAGCAGGGTATCTCCCCAAAGTGTGTTTCTCTTGGGGAAGAGTCTCAGCAGGGGGTGGGGGAGCTTGAAGCATAACCAGTTCAGTGAGACTCCTAGTCAAGACGTTAAAGAAGTAGCAGGAGGCTAGGGCCCCGAGTTGGGCATCCTCAGTCTCGCGGAACGCTCCATGCCCACTCTGTGGGGGCACCCAGGGTAGCAGGGTGTTCTGTGCACAGGTCTGAGACCCTGCGCATTGGGAGTGCTGAGTGCATATCGGTGGGCAGTCTGCTCAGTTGGACCCTCAGGCCCACAAACAAAAGCAAGAAGGTATTTACACAGGTGCTGTTGAAATGACAAAAGCAAGCTCTCCTTCTCAGGCCTGGGGCCTGAAGACGGGCAGATGGTCAGACAGCTGGGGGGCTGGCAGGCTGGGCTGGGGCTGCAGTTATCGGCCGAACAGTCTATTGGTTTGTGGCGATCCCATCACCGTTGGGAGAAGTTCATGGATTGGCTCTGAGAAATGGACAGGTGTCCAGAGGCCCAGCAGCCATACTACAGAACCCGAGTCCCTGGCAGGAAAAGGAGGGGGCAGCGTTTCGGGTGAGTGGGAGGTGCTGGGGACGGCCTCACTGGGCTCCTCTGGCTGTCTTTGGAGGAGGCTGGGAGGCTATCGCCCTCAGTGACAGGGGTCATTAGTGCTGGCGTCTGCCTGGCTCCCAGGGTCAGTGACGGTCGTAGGCAGTGGCGGCGGCAGGCGGGGCCGCTCCGCGGGCGGCAGCGCTGTAATAGTACGGGGAGCCTGGAAGACAGAGAAGCCGGCATGGTGGTTGGAGGCGACACTGAGCTGGTAGCCCCATACCCGAGGCAAGTGTACAGAGGAAGGAAGGGGATCGGAGCTCTGAGAACAGCGCTCTGGGGAACGCGGGATTATTCTGGCAGGGTCAGGTTTCCCGGGCTTGGAGGATGAGAAGATCTGGACTTGGGGAGACCGGGGCGTGTGGGCCCGGGGAGCGGAGCAGCTGCAGCCTGCCTCCTGGGACCTGCACACAGGGCAGGGGAGGGCTCGGTACCCAAGCGGGGCTCCTCCCACGGTCTTGGCTGCTTTATGTGACTATATGCTTTGGGTGAGGTCTCCAGGAACCCTGCTCTGTGCTCGAACTCCTCGTCCTCAGGGATGAAAGAGCATGAGGGGCTCTAGGAGGCCCGCAGATTCTCAGAACCACAGAGGTTAGAGATGCTAGGCCAGCCCCTCCTTCTACAGGTAGGAAAACTGAGGCTCAACCAACCAAAGTCATGTGTCAGAGCCACAGAGCCTCCCAGTGCCGGAGCCCGGCCGGACCTCAGGGTGTCAGCCCCTGGCGCAGGACGCTTCCCACCGCAGCGCAGTCCACGGCCTGCTGTCCGTCTGGAGGACGGTGCTCACCCGAGGCCAGCTGCGGGCCCTGTGAGCCCTTCGAGACCATGTCTGCTGGGGTGGGAACAGTGAGCTTCCTAATTCCCCAGGGGAGGTGACAGGTATTGATTCTGAAATCTCACCCAAATCCAAACCAATCCTGGCAATTCCCCCAGACAGCAGAACTGAGCACCCGTGCCTGGAGACTGCCGTCAGGCTGTGTCACTCTTGACTGAGTGACCTTAAACAAGCGGCATCTCTCCTCTGGGCCTCAGTTGTCTCACCTGTGAAAGGGGGTCACAGTACTGCTATATGAGGACACTGTGAGATAAGGATATAAAGTGCTTTTCTAAGCACTTTGTATCCATTAACTCTTAAATTTCACAACAGTTCTATCAAGTAGGAAACATTGTCCTCATTTAGCAGAGGAAGAAACTGAGGCACGGAGAGAGTAAGTAGCTTGCCCAAGGTCAAAGAGCTAGTGGCCCCTCAGCATGAGCCATCACACCCCGAAACCCAGTCTGATTGGCAGATATGCTGCTCCCTCCCTTGGCCCCCGGGCTGCAGTGCAGCGGGGTGCTGTCCCAATGGCATGGCCACCAACCCAGCCTAAGTACCCCAGAGACGGAGATGTTTGCTGCTTCCTCTGTCACCTCCCTGGTCAGAGCCCTGACTCAGACATCTGTCAGCCTCCTCTGCTCTCTCATCTTCTCTTTTCTGTGGGACAGGGACCGTGTTAGGACATGTGTGTCGTCCCTGCAGACCAGGGCACGGCACAGGAGCAGAACTACAGGGGCGGACCTCACAAATGGGCCTGGGGGACAGGAAATGGAAGTGAGCCTGCTCAGGGGACCCTGGCTCGGCCTCTGAGCTCCCCACCTACCTACCACCTCTCCCCCTCGCCTCTGACCCACTCTCCTCGCAGAGCTTAATCTCCGGGCCAGGCCGGCCAGTGGCCTCAGCGCGAGGGTCCCAGAGCAAAATCAAAACCGCTTGCATTTACCGCGAGAAATGAAAACATCACCTCACAAAGCACTCTGTCTTCCTGGTGCCCATTAGACCGTCATCTAGAATAAACTTGTCCTTTCTTCTGTCATTTTTCCTCTCTAATTCACATTATCATCAATTTACTTCTTGACACAGTCATTCCGGGCTCCCACTCACTCTCTAATCCCTTTAAAGCGGCCGCAGGCACTCCCCGTCTAATCCTAATTGACCGCTGCTGCCTTTCTTCCACTCCTCCCGGCCTGCTGCCCCGCCCCCGCTGGCCTGGCTGGGCAGCAGCTCCGGGGGAGGAGGCTCAGCAGGGAGGAAGTTCTCCGCAGAATTAAGTGGGCAGCTTCGTTAGGTGGCATCGCTCATCCTTACTTTGGTGGTGTTTCTGTGGAAAAGGCTTCAACCAGGCCGCCCCGGGTAGGCGGTGCGTGGGCACCTGGGGGTGTGTATGTGGAGGGTCTCAGCTGTTCCCACCGCTCCCACTGATCTAGCAGGAGCACCGAGGGGCCTCAGAGCAGGTTTCCACACCCTGGCACCTCCCCGGGCAGCAGAAATCAGCCCACTTCCCCTGCTCTGTGGGACTCTTCCAGAAAAAGCCCGAAGCTACTCTGTGGGAAAGGCAGGCTGGTAGATGCGAACAGGCCCGGGACTTATTTGCAAGACTACGGTAGAGTGAGCCTGGCTTCTCACTCATCTTCAGGAAAGTGAGCCTCCAGAGAGAATCACGCTCAGCTCCTGCTTGAATAAAGCTGCCAGTGGTGATTATCCTCATTTTACACCTGAGGCCCAGACTGGTTGATGACCTGGCCACGATTCCCCAGGTTACAGGCTTGGGCAGCACAGGGGCCATTTCTCATGTTTGTACCTGCCCAGCACCGTTTAAACTTTTTCTGTTCTTCCTGTAGCAGGAGGCTGCCTCTTTGAGCTGGAAGTCAGAACTCACCCTCCTGGCTTCCCTTCCTGCTAGAGTGCAGGGGTGTCGCCTGGGCTCTGTCAGTTAGACCCTCTTCCAAGCGCGCATTTAGATGCACAGAATTTTGATTCTTTTTCCTCCTTTTCGCATTGGCTCTGGCCCTCCTCAAGGCCCTGGGCACCTCTCAGCATAGCTACCCTTGCCCGAGGCCCCCCACTCCCAGCCTGTGAACTCCCTGGGACACAGCCCACACCAGGCACGCAGCCCACACCTAGTAACAGGGCGTGTGGACTAGATTTCTCTCTAGCGTAAGCAGCAAAGGCCTCAGATGCAGTCTAGTCCCTCCCTCCCCTCGCCATCCTCTGGGGCTCCTGCTGCCTACGCAATCAGTTTCGACTTCCCAGTCTCAAGGTCCCCCATCCACGGCCCCACCAACCACCACCTCCTCCTCTGTCTCTTTGCCACACCTTCCTAGGTAGCTCCTTCCCCACTCCTCTGTCTCTTGACCTCCAGGCAAAGGAGCCTGTGGGCCACCTCATGAGAATGAGAAAAAGGTGCCCACAAGGTGCCTTGTGCCAGGATTTGGGGCTCTGTGTTGTGCCCTTGGGCAGCACATAGCCACATGGAAAGGGTCTAGGTCAACATGACCTTCTTGGGGTCACATTCCTATCACTAGGAGCTTCTCCCACAGTCTGGCCCAGGCCTCCTTTGTGCCACATCCCCTGTGGGTCTTACAGCAGCTCTGGGACCAAAATCTGTCTGAGGCTGATTTGCAGGGAGGGCCTCCCAAGGTCAGGCCTCCAGAGCTCCCCCCACCCCCTTCACTCCTGCTGAAAGAGGCTGGTTCAGGGAGATCACGGCCAGCCTTTGCCTCCTGAGACTGATGGCTGGGCCAACGCAAAGCTCGGGGCCTCGGTGAAGGGTTTAAGGAAAAGCATTAAGTAAGTGGTTCAATACTTAGAAGTAATTTTTACCCAACCAAAAAGTAAGTGTGAGAGATCAGTCCACAGATTCAGCCCCTCCAGGGGGCCACCAATAGTAAGAGCCTAGTTGTCTATAAAACTAGAAATCACCAGGCACAGGGACACTAATTGGCATTGTTCCTTATTTCACCTGCAATGGGGCATAATATACCACAATGCCTTGGGCAGCCCAGAGCCCAAGTACATGAAAGGGTGGTAGCCGACAAATGATGGTGTCCACGTCACGTGTCTGTCCTAATCGCCAGAGCAGGCTTGGGAAGGGGCCAAAGCAGTGGCTTCCTGGCCTCCTTTGCAGACCCATGGCCTACCAACTTGAGTTCGAAGACACCAGGTTCTTGCTTTTCTGATGAAGCTTATGGTTTTCAGTCCTAAAATAATTCACAATCCAGAGAATTAACAAGTTCTTACTTAGCAGGCTCTGTTAAACAGGACAGACAAGCCTGGATAGTCTCAGAGGTACTTCCTTGTCTGTCCTTTGAGGAAAATTCCCAGCTGACTGCTGGGGAGGGATCAGTGTTCTGCCTGCAGACTGATTGGCTGCCTCTGCCCCCAGGTGGTGAGTGACATTTATGATCCCGGGGCTCCTGCTTCATGCTCCAGAGCCTTCCGCTCCAGCTGGCACACTGGTTTCATGTAAGTTCACTTCAACAAAACAAAAAGCCTTCTGAGGATTGAGTCAGCCCTGCTTGGTCTTTGGGATGGCCCATGTATCTAGACGATGTTGACACATCAGGCGGACCCCAGCCATGGACAGTCTGCCAGTCTGAGGCCTGGGCAGGGGTTGGGCACCAGCTGAGTTTGGAATGGCATGCCTTGGCAGTCCTTTAGCCACAAGGTAATCAGTTTCCAATGGAGCTGGCTATGGTGATGTCCACAGCAGACATCACTGATCAATCCCTGGGCTTCAGAGTCCTCATCAAGACAGTTAGCCACTATCAGTCCATCTGAGTTGCCCTCTTTGCTGCCTCTGATTTAGAGATTTCTCATCTGAATATGCAATGATCTTTAAGAAATATGTGACTTTTGGGGGGAGGCACTTTCCCTACTTTCCTCTTTCGCCACAATGACCTGTGTTTGTTCTCCTTCTTTGCCTTGTACCCTTATTCACCAAAACATCTTGGGGAGGGATCGGGCCCAAGCAGGCCATGGTGCACGTTTCTGGGCCAAGCACCCACCCCACCTCAGTGACCAGGCCTCAGGATGCTGAGGGTCCGCGGCCCGGGGACCTCGCAGGGCCTCCGCCGTACTCACCGAGTAGCCCCGGGTTGGGGAACCTCCAGGAGTCATTGTAGGAGGGATACTGAGGGTGGCTGTAAGGGCTCCCGGAAAACTCACTCCCTGCAGGTGGGTGGGAGAAAAACAGAAATCAATGTCAAAGCAAGGTCGGAAAATGCCGATGGCATTTGCCTCTCACATAAATTGCAGGCACTTTTGTAACCAACAAAGGCAAGTCCAGTGCACCCTTATTAAGTGGACAGCTGTCACTGGCGTTGTCTAGATTTCCCCTTAACTTGTTTCTATCAGTGGAAGTGAATACCGGCCTCTCACATGTATATCATGAAACTATCATGTGCCAGGTGTTCCCTGGGGTTATTGGCCCATTTTCCAGGTGAGGAGACTGATGCCCAGGTTCTCTCACAAAATGGTCTCAATACGCCACCCAAGTTCTAAGCCCAACACTGAGGCCACTCCAGGACCCCAGTGTGGATTTAGTTCCACTTCTCACGTGTTTCCCACGTGGTTCTGGACTGAGAAGGCAAAGGTAAGGTCAACGCTAGTCTGGTCTTTTGTGCCGAGAATCCAGAAGTGGCTGCTCCAGGGGCCTCAGCCAATGGGGAACATGAGACATAAAGTCAGACCCTCCGCCAGAAGATCTGACTTTATGTCTGAGGTGAAGGGACCAGCCAACATTCCGGGGGAGCACAGAAGAGGGAAGTGGGGGCCTCTGGGCATGGGGTAGGAGACAGCTGTCAGCTGCTCTGGGCATGCTCAGGCAGGACCGCAGCTGGGCAGGGTGGGGACAGCATGGGGTGTGTGAAGAGGCATGGTGGGACGTGCGGATGCGCCCCCTTGCCCAGATGCTCACGGGGCATGACGCTTGTGTCTGGCACGTCCCGTGCTCTTGCTCCCAGCCTCCTTACCACCAGCCAGTCACGAGGAGGAGAGTTCGGAATTCTTCCCTTGCAGCCTTGCTGCCCAGCGGCTAGGGGCTCCCAGAGGGCAGGGTTTGGGCCTGACTCACCGCAGAGGCCCCCAGCGCCTGGCCCACGCCATGTCGGAAGCGGGCTGCTGAGTGGTTTTTTATGCCACTGGTTACAGGGCGTGTGGGCCCTTCCCTGGCAGTGGACAGGAGTTACACAGCCCATGGGACCACCCTCAGCCCAGACAAGCTTCCACGGGTTCTTCTTAAGGATGCCAAAGGGCCAAGGGTGGAGCCCCCAGAGGGGACCGGCCGATGTCGGGGTGGGAGCACTGCTCTTCCCTGGCAGCCTAGGCCCACGCGCAGGGCCCACGGGACTTGGCCAGGCGAGGCCAGAACAATAAAGTAGGCCTGAGGGGCCAGCTGCTCCCACACCCCGAGTCCAGCCGGCCTCCTCTCCACCTCCCCACTTCCACAGGCAACCACAGGCAGAGAGCACGCGTGCGCACGCGCGCGCACGCACACACACACACACACACACACGTGCACTCCTCCCCAGACCTCTCTGGGGGCCACTCCCAGCCTGACAGGCTGAGCCTTCCAATTCTCTGTTTTTTATGCCTCAGTGGTCAGGGTGTCAGGTCCCGGCGCACGGAGGGAGAGCCTGGTGACAGAGCTGGGCTGCAGCAGCCCAGCCTCAGCACATCCATCAGCGCCACAGCGCCTCCTCCTCCTCCTGGGGGCACGGTGGGGGGGCAGAGACCACGCAGCCTGGAGAAGGGGGACCGCCGCCCTCTCATCCGGGCTCCGGGTGCCCGCGAAGCTGCCCGTCAGAGGCACTTCCTGACAGCGCTGCACCTGGGCCTCGGGCTACACCGGCCAAGGCCATCTCTCCACCTGCATGGAGCAGCACTGCGCCTGTCTGCCAGGCCCAGGTCCGAGCCCCCTCTGCTAGGAAGCCTCCCTGATCTCCAGCTTCGTTTCCCTGCTGGAGTCACCACCACCGTGACACCCAAGGAGCATTCGCCTTCTTTCCTGCAAACCCTGTGAGGGCAGCTTAGAAAAGTGAGTCCTGTCCAGCCCAGAGGAGGTCTGGGGAGAGCACTGGGGACACTTGCTGGAGTGGGAGGCGCGTGGGAGCCAGGTTCACTGGGACGTCCGTACGCGGAGGGAGGCAAGGGATCCCAGCACAAGCAAAGGTCTGGGAGTGGAATGGTCAGAGCACGGCCTCCACATGGCCGGGTCTTCATGAGGCCCCAGCCGAGGCAAGCCACCGCGCAGAGTGGTGTGGGGCAGGGACATCCTGTTTTTCGCCATTAGGGTTGGGACCAGGGAAGCCTTCAGACTAGGAAGTAGCAGAGCAGGCGAGCCGATGGTCAGGTCAGGGGGGCCGCCAGTGGCTGCTGCCATGGTCCACGCGCGAGAGAACCGGGGCCCAGCAGACAGCACAGCTGCAGCACCCGAGGACACGAAACGATGCTCCTCGCAGACAGGAATGGCATTCTCGGGCAGAGAATGAAGTCCCCACTTCTGGCTCCTGGTCGGGGCCCTAGAGGTGCGGCCGGCTGACCCAACACAATGATCACACAATAAACACCTTCTCTTATGACTGCCCAGCTCAAAGAACACCATGGGCCCCTCACTTCTTTCCACCAAGTCACCCGTATCGGGGCTATAACCCTCCTCCCGCACATTGAGTAAAGCCTGTTGTACACTCGAACGCTCCGTACAGCTGGGCTGGTGTGTTCTCCCCACGGAAACTGAGGGGCGGGGCTGAGTGCCATGTTCGGGCGGTCTCAGGGCTGAGATGAAAGAATGTCTCCAACAGCAGCATAGATGGAGCCAAGCATTCGGTGATGTCAGGCAGCCTGAGACAGAGGTGAGCGAGCCAAAGTGAGCCTCCCTGGAGACGTCCTAGAGATCTCGGAGAGGACGTGGGACTCTCCGTGAGGCGGGGAAAGAGGTTTGAGTCAAGCCTGTCTTTTTTTTTTTTTTTTTATCCTCACCCGAGGACACTTTTCCAATTTTTGTACAGATAGAGTGGGAGGGAGAGAGAGGGAGAGAGAGAAACATCGACATGAAAGGGACACATCGAGTGGCTGCCACCCGCACGACCAACCTGGGCCGGGGACAAACTGCAACCGAAGTACGTGCCCTTAGCGGGAACCGAACCCGGGTCTCTCCGGACCGCAGGCCAATGCTCTAACCGCTGAGCCAAACTGGCCAGGGCGAGTCAAGCCTGTCTTGATGTCAAGGTGCCAGGAGAAGCCAGCCACTGTTGGCATTCTCTGCCTGGGTAAAGGAGTGGGGGCCAGCGGGGCCACTGCAGAGTAAAAGCAGGGAGGGGGACTGGGCAGTGGTACATGATGGCACTCCGGGACCCTTGGGACTGACTCCCCCTCTTCAGCAGCCTCAACAGGACCAAGAACGAGGGGTGGGTCCCCTTTCAGGCTCATGGCCAGGGTCACACCCACAGCTGTGCTCTACCCCCCCCTCCTGCCCAGCGCTGCCCACCCTGAAGGAGACGACAGAAAATGGCTCCAGACAAAGAATACCAATGGCTGCTGGCTTCTCCTGGCGCCTCGACATCAAGACAAGCTTGGCTCACACCCTCATTTTCCGCCTCACGGAGAGTCCCATGTCCTCCCCAAGATTTCTGCAATGTTTCCAGCGGAGGCTCGCTTTCGTACTTACAGCCTGGGTGGCTGGGCTTGAGCCTCAGTTTCCTCACCTGTAAAACGGAAGAAAGGAAAGTCCCTACTTCTTAAGCAGGTGGAGAAGATCAAATGACTTCACAGGTCCAGATCTTTGCACCCGTCTAGGGAGGACCTGATGCCTTCTCTTCATTGTTGGCGGAGAAAACAAGTTCTGCCATTCCTGCCCCTGCCCCAAACACTCTGATTACAACCCTCCTCCCCACCCCTGCCAGGAGCCTGCGGTGGGATGAAGAGAAAACTGAGGGACAGAGAGAAATGCAGAGCTGCAGAAATGGCAGAACAGGAAGGGAGCCGAGAGATCATCATACTCTGGTTTTATAGATGGGGAAACTGAGGCTCAGAAAGAAGGGACTTCCTCTGTCCCTTCCCCCTCCTCTGTCCCCGGGCCACAATGCCCCAGCTATTCCCGGGCCCTGGGGCTTTCACCATCCCAAGGAGCCACAGGGGGAGAAGGAAGTCCTCGCCCCAACCCCTTCCACCCCTGGTAGGTTGGCAAAATTTCAAACGCAGCAAAGTCGAAAGAATTTTATAGTGAATACCTGTATATCCACCACCTAATTCTACTATCAATATTGTCTCATACATGCTTATCACACAGCTCTCCGTCTCTCTAACTCTTCATTCATCTTATTTTTTATGTATTTCAGAATAAATTGTAAACATCAGTACATTTTCCTCTAAGTACTTCAGCATGCACATTATTAACAGAAATTCATTATTTGTTTACAAGTCTTTTCCTCTGGATGTAAAGTGTATGCACAAGAAAATGCACAAATCATAAATGTACTATCGCTACGTTTGGACAAATGTGAACACTAGCACAACTCAAACCTCTATCAAGATATTGAACATTATCATCACCCCAGAGAAAGTCTTCTCATGCTGGAGAAGGAGGACTTTGATCCACCGAGAACCCATTTATCTGGGGATCTGTCTGACAGGGTTATCCCCCCACGAACACAGAGCTCTAAGATTAGCACTGACAACCCAAACCCTGACTGTGGAAATCCCTAACCCGCAAATCAAAAATGCTTCCAAAAGCCACTAGACAGAATAAAGCCAAGGAATGTGTGTACTTTCCTCAAAAACAGAGATAGAAAGCAGAGGCTTAAGAAATTTAGGCTATGTGGTGGCTTTCCCCCAAACAGCACTGTCTTCCAAATACAGAAGAACTAGCTGTAAAAATCATGTTCTGGCTGGTGTGGCTCAGTTGGTTGAATGTCATCCTGTGCACCAAAAGGTTACCTGTTCAATTCCCAGTCAGGGCACATTCCCAGGTTGCAGGTTCGGTCCCCAATAGGGGTGTGTGCAGGAGGCAACCAATTGATATTTCTCTCTCACACTGATGTCTCTCTCTCTCTCTCTTTCCCTCTCCCTTCCTCTCTAAAATCAATAAAAACATATTAAAAATCAACATCAAGGTCACTAGAAAGGACTGATTAAAATAAAAGTGTATAGGGGGCCACACACAAAAATGCACT